CTCTCTCCTCCTTTCCCACTCCCCGGTGCCCTCTCCCGGGTCACTTTCTCCATTTAACTAGGCTGTTGTGGCGCTTCCCGGTGGCCCTCGGTCGGCACCGGTCATTAGACATGGGCAGCTCAGCTCTGGGCTCCCCGGGACCACTCGTGCCGGTGAGACCCGTGTGTATTTTCCTGCTTTTTGAACTCAAAGCTTCCTCGGCACAGGAGCAGCCGAGCGGGCTGGAATCGGCAGGGTGAAACCCGCAGGACACAGCCCGGTTACGGCGTGTTTGTGTGGGCAGGGGTGGGGGCACTTTCTCCTGTGAGAAGTCGGTTCCACACCTCACATTCTGGAACATAGCAAAGCAAACCTCCAGGAGTAATGAACCACTGGAGACATCAATCCCTGCATTTCACAGACAGGCAGAGGTGAAACAGCTGAGCCAGCACAGGTGTATAAAGTACCTGTATAAAGCCCTGTTGGCAATGCAGATCTTTTATAGAATCACAAGACCTTCAGCAATGACAGGACCTGAGTCTGATACATTCCAGCTGAAAAACACTCTGCTCTTCCAGGCCTTTGGATTTACAGTGGGTGAGAGATGGGATAGGACACAGCCTGTGTCATGTGCCACCCTCTGGGTCCTCAGCCTTCCCAAAATCCGCCAGCAGCTTGGTCCCCTCCAGGCTCCATCCTGCTCCTGCAGTGCCCCTGTGCTTGAAGCCTCTCTCCCATCTCCTCGTGGCAGTCATTCACCCCCATCCCCTTGCCCACACACATCCTGGGGGGGACACTTCACACCAGGTCTCTGTGTGGTGAATGTCAATACAAACCCCATTTACTCTTGTCTGCATAGTAACAGAGGAATATTAAAAATGAAAACAAAATCAGGGTTATTTAAGGGTCAGCACAGATATCACAGATGAAGATTTTCTGCTGAGAAAGCTGAGTTTTGTCCTTCTATGGAAAAAAGAGTGGCTTCTCATTTTGATGTGTAGGAAACCAGGCCCATTCTTCTTTACATGAGGTACTGGTCTCTGTGCAAACAATAGCACTGTGTGAGTTAACACTTCTCTTGTATGGAAAAATTATCAAGAAGAAGCAATTCCTGTACCTGAGTCAGGGATCAAAATTTTTAAAAATGGCCAAAGTCCACAGTAGAGTAATGTGTCAGACCAAGTAACTTGGTTTTACCAGCTTAATAGTTATTCAGTTAGCTAATAATTACTTCACTGGCAGGCTTAACTCCTGCCCAATGAGCACTGGACTCTTTAACAACAGCAACAATCCCAAACTGAGTATCACTTCAGGTGACCCCTCTAGTGTGTTCAACACTGTGTGTTGGGGAGCAGAGCACCCTATGAGCAAACCCTCAGGTGTCTTCTTACCACAGTTAAATCCAAAGCAAGAGGAGCCCTCCATGGAGGGATGTCTTTCCCATTCCTCTGACTCACACATTCCTATTCCTACATCTCCCCATTTTTCAAATTAAAGCCATTTGGTCTGGATTTGGAGGGTACTACAGTGCTTTGGGCAATGTTGAAGTGAGCCCAGTTAACAGCTTCCATTTTAATCACTCAGAAGTGACTCAAAAAAACTGTGAGCTCTCTGTGGAACTGCACTACGCTCATCAGGGCTGGTTAAATGATTCACAGCTGCAGGTTCATTATTCTGCTTGGAAAGTTTCTTCAAAAGGAGAGATAAGAAACAGCTCTTCAGAGAGGGCAATAAAATATTCTCTTTTGGTAAAGGCACCTGATTTTAACACTTTGAATGCTAAAGGGTAATTTTAATGTAGCTCTGTATTTGGCATATTGCTAGTTTTCAGTAGATGTGTAGCTGGAAATTGATGTAACATCTTTGGTGAAGTTGCCTGTGCCCTTGCTGCCCTACTTGCAGCATTGCCCAATGAGCCTGGGTCTGGCACAGTCGTAGTGTACATGTTGTTACTGAACAGCCCCTCCCAAACAAATCTGACTTTGATGACCACTTTTCTCGTGTGGCAGAGCTGTAGCAAACTTGCTGTGCACAGTTCCTGCCCTGTTTGTTTGCAGTCAGGTGAGGGACAGCACAAGTTCCCCAGCAAGAGGAAGGGAGCTAGGGCATGGCTGCTCATCCCAGCAGGAGCACCAGGAGAAACGCACAAGGAATTGATCAGGCTGTGCTTTCCTTCATGGAAGCGTTTATTGGAGAATAACAATTAAATTCAAAGAGACCTCTAAGTATCCCATGCTCCTGCCTGGACCAAGGTGCCAGGCAAACAGTGCTGCTGGGACCAGCCATTGACTGCACAAGCTGCAGGGAAGCACATGACAATGAAACAGCATTTGCAGTCAGGGCACATCCATGGCTGACTCCCCACCTGGGTAACCACAGCACTTCTTTGTGCAAAGGGCTTTTCATGCTGAAAGAAGTCAAAGCACATGGAGACAAAAGCTTTGGTCATGAAGCAGTCTATGCTTTCTTGCTAATCCTCTTGTAAGAGGGAATATCATCTCCTTTTCATAACTCCAAAGTTACACAAAACCCAGAGGAGAGAGAGGGTACTGAACCAGTATTTTATTTGACTGTTAGCCCCCAAAGAACATTGGTGGATCAAATCTTACTAAATTACAACCACACGGATATTTTAACAGAGAGCATATTAAAGCAAGAGCATCCAGTGAGAGGTTGTGTGTAATCAGGAGGAAGTTTGCCAGACTTTTACAAAAACAATCACCTCAAAGAAACAATGTTTGTTAAGGCAGGTCAACATTGCCAGACTGCAGGCCCCTACTGAGGAAAGCGCTGCTGCACAAGGATCAGCATGGGATGTGCTATGAGGAAACAATGTCAGCTTTTCATCTGGGAGCAAACTGTCCCTTGGAGAGAGGTTGCCAGGTGAGGGATGTCTGCCTGCTGCCATGGTCAGACGGGCAGCCTGTGGGTTTGACCTTGGTCTGCACCATCCGTCCATTCACACGAGGCTGAAGGATGCTGAGCAAAAACAGACTGATTCATTTAGCCCAGAGTAAGGAGTTTGACAGTTCTCTGGGAGTGAGTTGGGAAATACATGCAAATGGTGTTATTTAATCTCATTGATTTTTTCAATGTAAAGAGAAGAGCATTTGAATGAGAATAAGTTTTATTAAGTTACAGTAACAATGTTTGTTTGCATTTGTGATTGGTTTGTTTTTTTAAGAAGAGACATCTTGTTTATAGAAACCTCCAGACAGTAATAGTAGGGAAATGCCATTTTCAGTGTCATGGATTCCCAGTTTTCCGGACAGTAAAACAGCCAGCTTAGGAGTAATGTCTGGTTTATGCTGTAATTTACTTGTAACACAGAATTAAAGGTTTTGGTACTGCCTCTGTGGTGCCAGCTCCAGGGAGGACTCCACTCCAGTGGAACCAAATTGAAGGCTCACCTGGTCAGAGCTGATACCTGAGCCTTGAGTATTTGCTCTCTGAAGAGATGTTTCTAATTCCATTTCCTCCCCATAGCATATCCTCTGCAGAGTATTTCCTGCAGATGTGAAGGAAAAGAGATCACTGTGCCTCAAATGGGAGCACAGACCTGAAGCCTTGGTACTGTCAATGCCACTGGGATTTGCAGTGTCCCAAGACATGCCAGGCCCCTGCCCCTGTCCATGCCCCAAATGCTGTTGTCCTCCTTCTTCCCACAATAACTTAGGAAAAAGCAAGATTAGTGTTGCTCTTACTCTTTCTTCCCCCTCACAGTTTCTTTTTGAAGTACAAGTACATTCTCAGGTCACATATTTTTGTACTCATCAAAGCATCTTGATTTCCAGATTTAAGCAGCCTTTCACACAGGTCTGCAGCTGTGACAGGCTGCCAGTCTGGGTGGAAATGCTCAGCTATAGAGGTGTAATTTAGAGTATTTTGCACAGGAAGACTGAAGCTAAGTTCCTTTTCACTGTCTTTTGAAGCTCAACCCTTTACCATCACAAAGGCTGAGCTGGTTCAGAATGGGCATAAAGAAACTGGTTATCCTTCTGAGAAAGAGGAAAACAAAACTTTGGTGGATTTTCATAGCCATAGGCTGAAGTTGGCCATGTGCTCGCACTGGGTATCTCTCACTGGTGACCCAAACCCAGCTCTGAAATGTGGTGGCTGCCTCTGCTGTGAGCCCCCAGAGCAGCAGCTGCTGGTGCCAGCTGCCAGGCACACACATCCCAGGAGTCCAGCTATCTCTTGAATTCCAGAGGCACCGTTTGGACCAGGAGCAGCGCTGCTGGTGCACCCTGCCACCAGAGATGTAGCTGGAACACAAGGATCTGTGCTTGAGGCAAACACTGTGGCACATTGTCAGGTGTTCAGTTTAACTGAGCAGGGAATACATGACTGTTTACATGTTACAGGTTAAACTTCTTCCATCTCCTGCCTTTTGGGTTGAAAACCTGCATGACTGGTTTGTTCCATTGTGATGGAACCAACACAATGCTGGTTCCATCTCAGACAAAGGCAGAACCCCCAGTTCCATAGTTGTTGAAAGGTTGCTGCTGCCCACAGGACAACTACAGGACAGGGAGACAGGCTGACCCAGTGGGGAAGGACTGCCAGGCTGGCAGGGAAGCCACAAAGAACACAGTTCTTGAGGACTGGTAAAAAATAATATTATCGAAAGTGACAATAATTTAGATTTTATGCCAAAGAAATCTCACTTCACAAAGTTAAAGCCCTAACAGCTTTACATCAAGCCACAGTGGGCAGCTGGTGTGTGTATAACCAGTGTAGCTTCCCCATGTGTGCTTAGAAGATGAAAGGCTTCATGTGCTGTTAAATAATTCTTTTCATTTTTGCTGACTGTTCCAATGAAAAAAATCACTTAAAACCCCTCATTCTGGAGCCCACAAGTGGGCAATTCATCCATAGAGAATTTTGATACCTGAGAGAACAAGGTCCTGAATGACCCAGTCAAAGGCAGAAGTTTTCATGCTGTGGGCAGAAGGTTGACTTGATGGTCTCCAGAGGCTTTTCCAAACCCGTTTTCCCCATGGTTTTGCAATCCCTATGTGATGCTTCCCATCTGTCAGATGAAGGCTTCAGCTTTCTGCCACAATTGGCTGCACGCTGGATATGTCTGTCCTTGCAGAGTTCCTCTGGGAGGGTGTCTGTGCCTTCTGGCATGTGCTGCTTCTTCTGCACGGGCAGTTCTCAGCCTTGGCATGCTGGAACAGTGGGGAGATGGGCTGCAGAGCGTGGCCCTGAGCCGTGCTCCTGCGCTGGCACACGCACAGCAGGGACCGGAGCTCCGCGCGGAAGCTCTCGTTCAGCCAGCAGTAGATGAAGGGGTTGTAGCAGGTGCTGCTCATGGCAAACCAGTGGAAAGCGAAGTACAGAGCGTTGCTGCTGTGGATGGCCCTGCAGGAGATCAGCACCACATAGCAGTTCAGGGGAAACCAGCAGACGGCAAACACAACCACCACCACCATCAGCATCTTCAGCGTCATCTTCTTCTTCCGCTGATGGGCATAGTATTGCTCCATGGTGAGGTCCCCAATGGCGTTCCTCAGCCAGAGCTTTTTGGCCACTATGGTGTATGTGATGGAGATCACAAGCAAGGGCAGAACATACAAGAGAACAAATGTAGTCAGGTCCAAATACTTCCAGAAAAGATCAGCAGGAGGAGGGAAGCTGGGGAGGCAGACCATTCGGATGGTTCTGTTTCTGAAGATCAAAGAGAAAGAGCTCTCAATTCCACTGCCAGCTGCACACAACTGAGGACAAACACCTCAGACATTCAGAAAAGTTTCAGTACAGGTACAGGTAGCAGAACTCATTTGGTGTCACGGGCAGGTGCCACTTTGAATGGAAAATCTTACTCTAGGTTTGACCTTTGGCTCCAATGAAGGTTTTCTCAAACACATCCCCAGGAAAATAAAGAAATCATCCATACTGACATCTGTGTCCTCTGCTGACGAAGAGTCCCTCTCCCCTCTGCCTGCCCCAAATGATATGGTTGAACCTCTGAGCCCAAAACAACTAATGAACCAGCCTGGAAGCAATTCCATTGATTGGCATTGTCCCTGTGTGACAGACACAGCACCTATGTGAATGGAACAAAAATTTCTCTGTTTCACCACCCTTTCTGCTCTAACAACATGGATGGAAGGGTGTGGCCTTGGCTTCTCTGGGGCTTTGCAAATGTCATACAACAAAAAATATGTAAATGTCTTACCCAATATAAAACCTTGTCAGAGTCTGATAAATGGCGTGAGGCAGCGAGAAGCAGCTGGCCATAACCCAGATGATGATGATGCAAATCCCTCCTTTCACCATGGACATGCGTGGCTTGAGAGGGTGCATGATCACCTGCAGAGAACAACGATTCCTGAGGACTTACAGTGTCTCGGTCACTCTTTGAGCCCCATGTTGCATGTGACATGCAGCATCAGCTCCACATGTCTTCAGTGTTAAAAGGCAAAGACTTGCTTTACAGGACTTCAGGGAGCACAAGGGCTGGGAAATGCACGGGTTTGTGCACATATTGGGTGTTTCTGCTGGCCTAGAGCCTGAGCAGAGAAACACACTCTGTGTGACACATCAGCAAGACTTCAGAGACCACAGTGGTGAGATCTCTGTTGAGCTATACACACTGTGGAGGATTACCCTAGGCAATTAAACAATAATTAAAAATAGACCTATTGTCTCATCCAGATGATCACTTGGCTGATGAAGTCTTTGGTATTTTATGCATGTTTTTTCTAGTCCCATTGTAAATATCTACTTAATCAAGTTAACTCCCCCGGAGTATCTGTCTGCCGTGGTACTTCTCAGTATTAGCAATATTTTTAGAGGCAAGTGCTGGTTTCTCTTTTGTCTGGGACAGACCTTCACTTGTCTTTGTCTCCTGGGGCCATACTAGTTCATTCCAGCTCTGAGGAACCCACTCTACTCAATTTAAAGGCATGCATTGTTTGGCCTTAATTAAACAAACACTTCTTGATATCTAGCCGTGCTTTGCAATCAACCCAGAATCTACTGATTAAAATGCATCACTGTCAAAGTGCTTTGATTTCAGGAGCTGTAATATTGCACATGAAGTGGGCAGACTGTAAAACCCTTTGTGGTAAAAAGAACAGAAGTGGCTGATCTATGCTCCGGCAGCCCCTGTGATTCTCTGACACCAGATGGAGCCAGTTCTTGTTCTCAATTTCATCCAGCCACATTTATCATGTGAAGTTGCTTTTCCGTAGCAACTGTTTCAGTGATTCCAGCACTGGAAGAAATTCAGTCTGCCTGAGAGCTCACTTTGCTGGATCTGGCCACTCAGCACTCATCAGCTAAAGAACAAATTATAAACTCTCTCAAAGAAACCCTTCAGTCTGTACTCATTGCTTGACCTGAAAGGTTTTCCTAGTTGGTAAGTATCAGGGCTGGAGGAGAAGGAGAGAATTTCTTACCTTGAACTGGAAGAGTTAACATAGTTCTTACTGTTTCCAGCCCTAGGCAAGGACGGGGGCAAATGTCAGAACAAACAGACTCTCATAAATTGTGGAGAGAATGTGTGGGCTGGCTGATGTTTGAATTCAGCACTAATCCTCACCCTACTGGCAGAGCTGTGCTCTGAGACAGGGCTGAGGAGGGCAGGGAGCCCACGAGCCCAATGGCCCAGGCAGACCAGGGTTGGACAGGCTGTCTGGCACTGATCTCCTGAGGATTTCAGTATCTCCAAGGACAGAGACTCCCACTAACCACATCCTCTCTGGACAGCCTGTTACAGTATTTCATCACCCTCACTAAAAAACATGTGTGTTTTGTCACTGCCATGAAAGCTGGAGTTCTCCCCTCTGTTCCCTGAGTCTCTAGACAGTGCAGGTTCCAGGTACTGGAATTTGAGGAGGAAAAAACTATGTACTTAGCACATTATTTTCTAGCAAACATAGGGGTGGTGTCTTCAACATACCTGGTGCCGGTCCAGTGCAATGGCAGCAAGGGTCAGCACAGACACGTGGACAGAGCAGTACTGAACAAACCGGCTGATGTGACACATCAGCTTTCCAAAAACCCAGGTGCTGCTCACAAACCTCACCTGAAGAACAAACAACATCAGATTAAGAGGAGCAGTACCTGAAGAGAAGCAAATTGGCAAAAGGTGCACAGTATGGAACAAATGCTTTAATACAGCTTTCTGAGGCTTTGGAGGTGCTTTATCCTCAGTTTTTCCTTGAGAAACAGTGACTGTGGAGGTCACTGTTTCTCAGACCAAGAGAGGTCACAAACTGAGGTGAGATTTACTGCACTGTGCAAACCAATGGCTTGAGCAGTGTTCTGTGTATGTTGTGTACATTTGTACATTTACCATGGCCCTTCTGGAATACATAAAGAAATCTTAGCTCTGCTCCTCAACGTGGCTCTGCAGGGGACACCAGGTGCCTCCCAGAAAACATTATTTCTTTGGACATGTGGATGCTGAAAGCTGCATTGTCTCCAAACTTTGGAATTCCACAGAATTCCAAAATTCTGTGGAATCCGTCACCTGTTCCCAGAGAGGTGTAACTGATGATGGGTTCTCTGCAGAGAAGAATGTGCCAAATTGCCTCATTCACTTATTATTCCTGACTGTGTAATATTAAGTACAAATTAATGTCACTCATTTTTCTGCAGATGAAGCTAATTTGAAGTAAAGTATATTTACTACAAAGCATCTGTCCACAGAAAATTAGTCAAGACTAGCTAATCTGTTTTCAATTAATCTAATTAATTTCCCTGTAGGGGCGACTCTTGCAGTGCTGACTTTCACTGAACTGGAGCAGTGTGTTGGATCTCTGGAGCTGGTGTAAAACTTGTTCCTGAGAGAGCAGATAGAAATTTAATTACACATGCCTTGTGTGTGGCTGTTGGTGTGTGAACACACAAGAGGGCACCAGGCTCTCCCTGAACAAATTATGGATGCAAATCCCGCCAGAGCAAGGCAAGGAAATCCCACCAAAGAAACAGTGTCAGTTTAGGAAAGGGTGAATTCAAATAGCTAATTCAAGACCTGTTTTTGGAAGGCAGAAGAGCACTCTGGGCAGGGATGAAGCAGGAGGATTTGAACAGGAATGCTAGGTCAAATCCAGGAGCAGAGTCCTGTTTATATGGCACTTATAGTCTGTGACAGTAGGGCAAGAGATTGATCTTTAATTTTTCCCACCTCATACAGTTAATGTTCTTTTGTATAACATATATATTTTAGTCACTGAAAATGAGAAAGGACTTTTAGTCCCAGGAAGCACCGTCTGTAGTGGCCGAGGGAGGGACATGCCACTGACACTGTTCAGTGCAGCCTGAGCACTTCCCTGAGATGTTGCACAGGGACTGACCTGGTTCATGTTGTTTCCATAGGAAACCAGCCCTTAGCTGTATTATCTCGTGTCAAACTTGTCCCCACTTCCTTCCCCATCTACAGGCAGAAAGGGGTCCCAGGTCTGCACCTTGCCCAGAGAGATGGAAAGCTGCAGCAGAGTGAACGCTGCAATGGGCTGCGAGGTGAGGGCATGAGCCCCCAGCTCCGCTTGCTCAGGGGGTGTTTGAGATAGGGGCCATGACTGCACCCTCTGCAGAAGGCAAAAGGGGAAGGGGGGAAAAAGTTAACTCTGGATACCAGCCTGACCCCAGCCCATTCCATCCTAGTGCACACAGCTGACAGCACACACAGACACCAGCAGGCACGGCAGGACACGGCTCACCAGTGTGAAGGGGGTGTTCAGGGTGGTGATCATCACGTCAGCAATGGCCAGATTTACAATGAAGAGGTTGGTGGCAGAGTGCATCCTCTTGTTCTTGATGACCACGTGGCACACCAGGATGTTGCCGAAGAGAGAGATGCAGATGATCACAGAGTAGGCGACAATCAGCAGCGCCTTCACTGTCCGGCTCTGGGACTCACCCTCATACTTGGCTCCGCTATCAAAGTCCCCCAAGTCCTCCAGGTTCAAGTCACTGTGGAAGAAGGACTGGTTAGGGAAGCCGTACAGTGCAGAGAAGAAGTTGGTCGCGTTGTGGTTCTCCGCTCTCCAGAAGGGCTTGGGCATGTACTGCAAGGGGAACCAGGTGTGCTGTCTCATGGCTGGGGCAGCGGAGCCCTGGTCCAGCCACAAGCTCATCAGCGCCTTCTGCCAGCTCAGTTGCTAAAGACAGTGGTTGCAGGAGGGAACACACACATTTGCATTTTAAAAATCTGCCCCATGGCTGCAAACTAGAGAAAAGAGTTGATAAATGGGTCCTTCTGCCTGTGCTGGGGACACGTCAGCTTCACCTCGGAGGATCCCTGTCGGCTGTCCTTGTTAAGTCCCATATGTCCCCCACAGAGAAGTTGATTCAGAGGCTGAAATATCAGAGATCCCCAAATACTTTCTCTCTGCACCAAGGAAGAAATCTTAGTGAATATTTCCTTTTTGGGCACTGTTCTTCTTTGATCTGCAACTTATCCTTGGAAATCTGCTTGACTGGTTCTCCACACAGTCCTTAGTCCATCAGGTTTCTGTTTCCCAAGAGTTTTCGGAGCTTGGCAGAAACAAAAAAGCAAGGGCTGCCTTTCTGCCTTTCACTTTGCTTTTCCCCCTCCAAGTATCTCTGGCTACTCAGTGAAGCAGCTTTGCTCAGCAGCAGAGTGGTCCCTGTGTTCCCTGTGATATACACAGCTGCCAGATGACACACTGCACAGGAAGGAGCCAATGGCAGATCTCTTCCCAGTTTTCCTGAGGTGTATCACAACCCACACGTCGGCAACAGCACAGCCTGACGTGCAGATCCAGAGAGCAGCAAAACACAGATGAAGGGTGATGTGCTATGATCTCTGTCTGCTCTGCTCTTCTCTGGACACCCAGCACAGCAGCTGCATGGGGGTGAAACATCCTCCCTGCTTTGTGGCATCTCTCATTCTCTTCATCCCAGAGTTTTAGCAGAGAACATCTGAGGGCCTTGTTCTTGGTCCCAGCCCCTTCCTGCTCACATGTGGTGCAGAGGATAGAGTGAAGAGTGAAATGCAATCTGACAATGAGAGCAGCAGCCCAGCATGCACAGGGGGCACCCAGGATAGCCGGCTGTACTCCACATCCTGGCTGGGCTGGGGTGTGCACTCAGCCCTGGGGTGTTCAGGCATCTGATGGCATCTCTGCAGCAGCCTGGCAAAGGCTGCAGGAACACACAGGGCTCCATCCCTGGGCTCCTTTGCCCTGTTCCCTGCCATTTCCCTGCAGTGCACCAGGAGGGTGAGGGGGCAGACCAGCACTGGCATGCAGGAAGCCAACAGCAGTGAGATGTCCTGGGCGCCAGAGGTGGGTGACTCTCATCCCATATTCCTGCAGAACAGATTTATTCTATTGCAGGTACAAACACTTCAGCAATCACATGCTGGTTTGCTGCAGTTATTCACTTGTAAACATTATGAGCTGCTCGAAGCAGGCTTTGGGATTCATAATGCGTTGGTGCTGGCTCCTCTCAGTCAGAAAGACAAAGCAAGGCAGAAATGTACTTTGCCAACTCATCCAGGTGAACTGTGCCACCCTTTGTTTCTGTACAAGATTTTTGGCTTTCACATGTTGACACTATTTGAGACACAAATTTTTTGGAAATTTTCTTTTTTGTGAGATTATTTAGCATTTTCCTTGTTAGTGCTCTTTTGAAAGGAAATGTCAGATTGCTGAAATGTCAGTTGAGATTCATATCCACTTTCTGAACAGATCTAATGTGATCTAACATAATCCCATCAACAGAACAATGCTGATGAGGGCCAGAGAAATCAGAGCTATACTATAAAAATTCAGATCCTTGGGAATGTTAAAACATCACATTTCAAGCATTTTCACAGGTCATTGCCATGGTTCATCACCTCTGCTCATGGAGGCCAAGGGGGCTGCTGGGAACAAGTCCCTGAGCTTGGTGGGTTCATGGAATCTTTTCCTTTACTTCAGGGACTTTTTCCTTCCTGACAGAGAGAAGTGAGAGAATTCAGCAGTCACGCTCATTGTACAGCATGTAAAAGCATTCAGGGTCGAGGCTGCTTGCACTTGCAACTGAATTTGAGCTAATATTAAGGAAATGAGCTCTAAAGACATGATTCATCTCCATTACTGGACAGAATTTAATGATGAGGCAGATCATAATAGCAATGGAGATTTTCTCCCCAGGCTGTTACTATAAGCTCAGTGGGTACATGCATTCAAATACTTGGCCCTGTCTGCTCCCACAAAGGTGTACAGAAAATACTGTCATGACTGGAGTATTGAGCTCAAAAACTGAATAAAATTGTCCCCACAGGTCCCTGCAGATTGTTATATTTCATATTTATGAGGTATGTAAAGACTTCACAAGAGGGCAGACAAGAAATCCTGCAAACTCGAGACCACTGTGTTAAAACTTTTCCTAATGCAGATATTCCCATCATGCTCCAACTGTGCATTTTTTGGCTTCTTGGTCTTCTCCATCCATCCTTCCCCAAGCTCCATTCCTGATGCTGAGTGCAGGCTTCCCACATAATCAGCAAAGGAGGTGAGAGCTACTGGAGACAAAGTGCTACTCTGCTTTGGGTCTGTACAGAGTTGATGTCCCGAGCACTCACCAAGAAAGTGTCCAGCCTCTGAGAGAATCCCCTCTCCTACCAGCTGGGAGCTGTGCCACACGAAGCAGGGAGCACATGGATCCTGGCAAAGCCTAAACCAAGGCCTGCTGGTGCAATAATGAGATTTCTGGACTGAAAAATAAAGTGTCTCTGCTCTGCCATTCAGACCTGAAAGCAGTTGGAAGCAGTCAGGAAGTTTGAGTGCCTGAGCCTCATCCAAAGGGAGAAAATTTGACAGCTGAAATTGTCAAGTCCAAACAAGGAAAATTGAATTCAATGTGTCTGTTGCACCATGCAGCTTCTTGCAAGATTTCTCCGCCCTAGAGAATTTCATAGTTTATCCTTTTCTATGTTAAATACAAGTTTGTTAAATAACAGAAACAAGAATAACTATATACCAGCCCCTGAGATTTTATTTCACTCAAAATGTATGTTAGAAGTGAGTCTGGACAATACTCATAAATCATGAATCTCAGCTCTGACTTCTTTCATATTTGCTTTAGTGCACTTAGGACACTGTACTCCTCTTCATTTGCAATGACTAGTCCTGCTTTTGTGACTCAGAAAACATGGGATGAACAGGCACAGGCATTTTGCAGGATATTTCATGGACTTGATCATTAGATTTAATAAATAAACCACATTCGGTAATAACAGAGTGAATACCCCAGTAATACATTAAATAAAGCAGTTCTGTAATTCAGACAGGTGCTAACCATTCAGAACCACACTATGCACGATGCCTTTCTGTGCAAGTGAGCCAAGGTCTGGCTCTTGGGGAGGGAAAAATCCTCTCAGCCCACAGCAACACAAGGGTCACCTCTGTGTTCCACCATCCCACTCACATCATTCACTGCATGCTCCCTCTTGATATATGAGAGCCACTGCAGCTATAATTCAGCTTTTACAAAGCTTTTTCACATTTTCACTTCCTGAGGGCAGAATTTTAGGCAAAATCATAACATTTACCACTCTCAATATGGTAAATTTACCAGTCTCAATGGCTTTTGTTTTTTCCCTGAGAAAAATCCCTCTTTGTGGGGAAAAATTTGGAAGGAAAGTGCTGGGCACAAATTGTCTCTGCCAGTTACTCAATTACATCCCCTTGAAAGAGTATTTGAGCTTTTATTCTTAGAGCTTTCTTGGAGGCAGTGTAATTGGATTCTCATGCTTCAGACAGACGGAAGGAACAAACAATGCAGGACATGTGTGGGATACCAGGGTGCTGATGCTTGACTTAGGAGCTGGAAATTACTACTTCAAATACGCTAGAGCAGCCTTTCTGCAGTGAAGCCTGACATCTAAATTCTTCACAGTGAACTGGAACATTGGGGAGGAGCTGCCTGGCCTTGGATCCAGCTGCTGTGTTGTAATGGACCACATCCTCTCCTAGAGAGCAGCCTGGGTGAGCTGATTGTCCCTCACCTGGTGAGGAAGAACTCCCCAGAGCCTGAGGAAGAGTCAGCTCCAGGCCATTGCCTTTATGAAGCTCGATACAATGTACCTGACAAGTTTACCGTGACTTCTCTACTGTACCTGCAATTATTTATAATCCCATGTGCCAGAGACACAGCAGGGACCAGCTGTGGCACACACAGCAAAGCACTTGAGGAGGGTAGAGGCATGTTGTTCTCAGCTGAAAGGACAAAGTTATGGTCTAAAATTTCAGGTTATTCCCTATGACTGCCAAATGGCTGTAAATTAAGGCCAAGGGAGTCTCTAATGGCTCAGGACATGGAATTTGACATGCACTAATCCAGAAGATTTGCTCTTGGCAAAGGAGGCTCAGCAGATACGGAGGAGACAGGACATACAGGGAGTTGGCATGGCAACTCACTCATGTCCCTCAGGAGATGGAATGAGCACTGCCAGGTTCCAGCAATATCGGGAGTTTTTCACTTTCTAGAGGTTTCAATACCAGGAGAAAAAGCCAGATGGGTTTTTCCAGAGCCAGGTGACATTGGCAAAGGGAGGCGAGTTGCTCTGGAAGCCTCTGTCAAGCCCTTTTTCCTTTGTTTGAAGGGTACGCCTCTGAAAGGATGGAGTAGACTAAAAATTACTTTGAAGTTTCACAAAATTACCAAAAAAATCCCCAGTCTGACTTTACTAGCAGCTACAAATGTTCAGACAGGAATCAAGAGCCAGGGTCCTTGAATAAGTGATGCAGAAGATAAAATATGATTTGAAAAGAAACATTTCTGAAGACAGGGATGCCATGAGCCCTGAACACACAGTTCCAAAACCCACCCATGAACAGCAGATTTCTTTTTCAGAGAATGACTGAAGAATGGGTGGTGTTCTGCAGGTTGTATTCTGAAAATGCTGTTTTTTCACTGAAAATCTGAACGAAAGTCAGGACATAAATGTCATCCCCAACAATCTGAAGTTTTAGCTACCATCCATTTTACCCCCTTCAATTAAAAAAAAAAAAAATACCATGTTATACTTCAGAAGCAAATACTTCTTTAAAATAACAAAATTTCCAACTTTAGTCTCTCAACCCAG